AAAAAAACCAGATATGACGTGTTACTGACTTTTGGTCTTAAAATTTCCAAGTTTAGAAGCCGTTTCTGATCTGTTTGCCATTATTAGCTCAGGCATCAAACTATGTTTTAGTTACATCTACATCTTTGTATCAATACATCTCTATATCTTTATATGTTTTCCACCTTGAGTTATTTATAAAAATAATATAGGTAGAATATAAATAAAAATATTGTATGGGTATATACACTTAACAAAGGACAACTGCATCTGTCTGACCACTGACATAATATTACACAAGTAGTTTTTTGTCTAGAATCAATAAAGTACATTTTAGAACTTCATACAACCAGACAACTAAATAGCAGTCAGCCAAGATTTTCACACATTACTGAAGTTAAACATGAGATACTTGTCATGGCTGTTTAATCCTTGGTCTCCAAAGTCCTTGTCAGGCACATAAAAGCAAGATAATTAAACTTTTTTTTTTCAAACCAGACTAATACAGAAAAAAATGTAGGTAACATACTAAACATAAATGTGCAAAAATATTTCTGTGACCAGTATCATCTTCAAATCCAAAGAAAGCATAGAATTGCAGAACATACACTTGATCTTTCTGGAAGAATAGATCTTTCATCTTAGATTTGAAGTACACATTTTCACTCCAGAAACAATTATTCTGTTGAGCAATCATTGGTATTCAGATTTTTCATGTCAGTTGTCAAACACCTGACTGAAAAATATGGGGGAGGAGAGGTATTCAATTTAAGATTTTTACAAAATCCAGGCAACACTTCTTAGCATTTAACATTTTTTTACTTTGTTATTATATCCTGAGAGTAGCACACCTGATAGTGTGACATCAATCAAGTATATTGGTCAAGGACTATCTGTGTTAAAAAAAGCAAGACAACTTTCTACCTATTACAAATTCTGTGGTGAGAAAAAGTACTTATATAAGCAAGATGCATTTGTGCCATTTTCATAAGAGAGCAAACATTTCAGTGTTTTCCTTGGTTACTAGACTCCTTCAGCTGGTTGGCCTGTATTTGACCAGTCTTGTTAACTGGCAGGACTCCAGCCAGTCTTTAACTGTCAGACCTTTTCTTGATCAATTTCATTAACTATCAAGGCCTAGGAATATAGTAGATTGGACCAGAATTAATTTATACCCATACGGATTAGATAAAAAAGGAAGAAACTGGTTGCTCTTATCTAGGGGAATAGAACAAATTGAAAACTTTACAACCAAAACTTTTTTATTAGTGCTTTGTGAATGTCCTGTCCTAGAAACCCCAAATATCAAAATTTTATTAGAATGAATTCTACGTTCAAGGGTTTAATTATTTTGTGAAAAGTGGCAATGCATGAGCTAATCACAAACCATAATATTGTGAGCAACTCAAATACTTATACAAAATATTCTGAAGTAAAAAAATGAAAACTGTGTTGCTTTTTAAAACATTGGGATTTTATAAAAAAAGAAAGGTAACAATATTGAATATCTAGCATCATTATCACTATTTACATATGTTTAAGCCTCAGTTTATGCATCAGCCCAAAATATAATATTGCTTGATTCTGGCTTGTGTATGTATTCCTTTTTCCAAACTTTTTTTGGGGGAAATGCATCCTGTGTCCTATTTGCCAAATGGAAAAGGAGTAGAATATTTTTCTGCACGATAGAGAAATATCCTGTCTTATCCACACCCATCCTTTTGGCCGTTCGAAGAGGGCCTGAAGATCTGACTCTGCCAATTGGCCTGGGATCCCGATGGGACATGTCGTGTCATACCAAAAATGATTAATGGACTAAAAGAAGATTCTACCTCTATCCCATGTGTCCCTCGCTTCCTTTCTCGACCCCTTTGTAAATTTTAAGGTTAATTTTAATGCTAATGTTTATTATTGTGATATTTTAATGTTTTATTCTTTTCTTGTTATAAGCCATCTTGCTGTCAATTCATAAAACATTTTGTATACACGTTTATAGTTGACAACAGAAAGAAGGGGGGGAGTTTCAAAGAGGAGGCAGCAGTGTGGAATCGAAAGTACATTCCATTCATATTTTCTTCAGAGACTGATTAGATGACTGAAGCTTCTGCTGTGCAAAAATCTAATTGGAGAGCATGATCTCTTGGCTATGGATGTGTTTTGTTGGATGATACACCCAGAGGGGTGGGGGGTGGAGAAGCAGGATCAAGGGTGACAGTGAATTACAAATCTCAGAGTCGGCTACACCCAGGCAAATGCCGGACATAGAATGTTAACTTCTAATAAATCCTTTTTACTTTTGGGAGTGTGGATCGAGGCTCATGATTTAATTGGAATAATTCCTGGAATCCTGACACTTGCCCCATAGCAAGATGAGTGGCATGTAAATTTCATAATGAATTATTACAAGAAACTTCACTTTTTATTACATTGTAACCATGTACTAGAAACACTTTGGAATATTGTTATCTTACTTTGTTGAATAACTACAATTTACCAGTTTACATAACACATTAAGCTAAAATCTAAGCATATTATTTATTCAATTAAGTAATATCCTGCTTTGATTATTTTTATAAATAACTCAAGGTGGAGAACATATCTAATACTGCTTCCTCTTATTTTCCCCACACCGACCCTATGCGGTGAGTTGGGATAAGAATTTAACCTGATGCATAAACTAAGGATTAAACATATGCAACCTATGGCCATGCTACTAGATAATAGCAATGTAACCTATTCCTAATAGTTTTGAAATTTCAGCATGACATTCCCTTGGATGAACTTTGGACCAATGAACTTGTTAGTGTAATTCTACTATAATCTATCCCATGGTATTCTAAAATATGCAAGAAAGCGAGATACCAGTGCACTTCTTTGAATTTCTTGGGAAAAGGGGCAAATAAAAACAAGAGATATAAATGTTCCTAATAGGTATTCTGAAGTATATTTGCCATTTTAAAATTTTCCTGTTCACACAGATATGATCCAATTTCACCATTATTATGCGCAGGTGATGCCCTTCTATCAATTATTTAGAATCTTAGAAGTAGTCACTTCCAAGTTGTGGAATTCACTCCCTGAGGAGTTGCATTAGCCACTATTTCTCTCTGCCTTTAGAAGAGCCTTTTTTGTCAAGCTTTTATCATGTTAATGAATTCCAACATTAATTTTAATTTATTATTCAAACTCACTATATATTAGTTATTGTCAATTGTATATCATATTTGAAAGGAAAGGAGGAGCACTGATGGAATAAATAAATATGAATTGAACTCCTTATTTGTGTTTGCCAAACCTCAATGGTGCCAACCTAAATACACCTTTAACATTTTTTATTCAAGTGAAATCTATTGGATCCAAGATAGAAAGTACAAATTAGAATTGTATCATTTCACTGCTTATTGTGAGAATGTGTACATACTTTTTGAATTTATTTGTCTTTCCATCTGACAGAGCTTAGCAAACCAATTTTGCTGGCAGAAGCTTAATGGGGTGGGGGGGGGCATAATTTCCCCCTATTTGGAGGATTGTGTTGAAGGCTGAGATGGAATGAATTCAGAGAAGGGCTATCAAAATGGTCAGGGATCTAGAAACCAGGGCATATGAGGAAAAGCTAAAGGACCCTATATGTTTAGCTTTCAAAAAAGTTGACTGGTGAGTATCATAGTAATCTTCAAATATCTAAGGAACAGGAATGGCTCTATTGTTTAAAACCAGAGGGCAGAATCAGAACCAGGAGATTAAATGACGAGCTAAGTGGTTCAACTTAACTCTGAAATTATCTGTTGTTTATGTATTGACTTCCTCACTGAAGTCAATATGTCAATATGAAGCAAAATTTTGTAATTGCTACTGGTATTAGAAGGCTCTAGGCTGGATTCCTATGCCGGTCAAGGCCATGGAATTTCTATTTACCTATTTTCTTAATATTTTTTTTTAAATCTAATCCTATCTTTATAGAGAGCAGCTAGAACACCATCACTAACTTTCTGTAAACTGCTTGCTCTTTGTTATTTCATTTATTAATTCGGTACAGCTGCTCATATCACAAAAAATGACTCTGAGCAGCATCATGGGCAACGTTAAAACCCAGAAGGACTACCAGACAAAGCAGTAGGGTTTTCTCTCTCTTTAGAGACTAGATGGCTCTACGGCAGAGATGGCTCTCTTGGAGGCTGACTTGCTTGCGTCAGCAACCTAAAAGAAACCAACTCTTTTGAGGGGTTCACCATTGTGTTGCGGTGGGGGAACTATTCTAGCTGTCAATGCTAAAACTGTCAGAGCAAGCAGGTCCCCCTATCCAGAATAGGAACATTAATATTCATATACTATATATGAATATATATTGATTTTATTTCTGTGTGTATATATATAATTAACACATATTAAATTAATACACACACACATATGTATAATTTGTAATATTAATACTGAGTGATAAATATTAATATTTACTATTCAGTATTATTATACAATAGCAGTATCACAATAGTAATACACACACACACACACATATGTATGTATAAATACTGAGTAATACTGATATACTAAAGCAGGGGTCTCCAACCTTGGCCACTTTAAGCCTGGAGGACTTCAACTCCCAGAATTCCCCAGCCAGCAAAGCTGGCTGGGGAATTCTGGGAGTTGAAGTCCTCCAGGTTTAA